GTAGCCATATTTGTTTATATTTGAAACTTGGCAGAATAGTGAATTCAGTTTCTGCACCTTCAGTGTTGGAGTAGAAATTCTAATTGTAAGAATGTTTTTAATTGTTTTAACTGCACTCAATGTTTTACCTTTTTCTATATTTTTCAATTTTTAATGAAGATATTTTGAGGTTTTTATGTATTTTTCTCTTACTGCGAAGTGATAGCTGAATTAATTGTATGAGAAATATGTCTAATGAAATTTGAGGAAGTAAATTTAAATGAAATTCAGCAACAAATGCGTATAATTTAATACAAGGAAGACATGTGGTGTCCACATCAGATTTTTTATGGTCTTAATACAGTTAACTGTTTGTGCGCATATATTTCGTTTCTTCATAAGCTATCACACAGAGCTTTGTTTATTTGATCTCTTCACCTCCCTTCTTAAAGAAGGAAGGAGATCTAACTTAGTAGGTACCGTAATTCGTTGAACTTCAGTATTTCTTTCAGGGGAGCGAAAAAGGAGAAATTTTTTATCCTTGATATTACGAAAGCCTTTGAATGTGGAAGGATTTCTTTCTTTTATTTATTCACATATTTTTGTTAGAATAATTTCAGTACTTTGATCTATAAATTTTATCTTCCGCTTGCAAGAATGATTATTGACGCCATAATAAGAACCGCTTCTAAAGCTTCCCCACTCGTATACTTGGGTTTGATGTATGTATTTTACTGTTTCCAATAAAACTTCTATACCAGTGTTTCTCAATCTTTAGTACACGTCCACAAGACCATAGAATTCGAAGCCTAAGAGCAAAAATAAAATTCATATTAACTATCGCGAAACATATCAGAGTTTGAAAATTATACGTGCAAAAAGTTAATTACTTTTCTCCCAAGACTGACATTTTGTGAACTGTATTACTGGTCATCCTGCCAATGGATTTTCCACTCTACAAAAGGGAGGATTTAAAGCATTATGACTGTGGCACTTCTCACCAGCCTACATATTGAAAGATTAAATCAAGAGAGAGAAAGGTATGACTGTACAGAATAAAAACAAATCTTATGCCATTAGAAGTAGGAACAAATCATGGAATGTTTACATCTTAATTGCAACAATTCTTGAGAAGAAATGTAAAATGCGAGTGCTGAACACCAGCACGTCTAGTAGATGCCAAGCATTAATTATATTTGCATTAGTTTCAACCAGAGCAGGATTTGCAGCAATTCTAGCAAAATGCTTATTCTACAATACAAGCACTTCAACAATTCTGCAATACATTACAGAAAATGAACTCGCAGTTAATTTTAATTAATTAATCTTACTACACCTGAATTAGTGTTTAAAGGTCTGTTTCCATTACTGCGTTTCTCCAATCAGCAAGCGAATTCACTTTGATTGACATCTGCAATTTGGTCAGTGTGTGGTGATGGACTGATGAAGTTCAACTTCTATCTATATGTCTGCAGATAATAAGTAATATACGTTGGGGTCAAGTGGTAAAAAAGGAGCAATCAGGTGTTGCCACCAAAAATTAATGTCGACAGAAGTAACAATGAAAACTGGATCAAGGAAATAATATTTTGTAAAAAATACTTATTTCTGAATTAACATTATACAGTACAAAGTCTTTAATCCGGACCTCAAGGCTACAAACTTTCTGCGCATATGCGTTTACACATGGGCGTTTAGTGTATAACAGACAGTATAAACTAAAATTATCTATTTCAGTTAATGTTGCATATAGTGTGTTGTTCCTTAACTTCTAATTGGATCCGGCTTATTATTTTTTGCAGACTGTTAGACCAGTTTTATAAAAAGAAAGCTTGAACTTTCGATTATATCAAAAAGAATTTCCGATTCTGGAGCTGCCAAAGGATCTACAAAGCAAAAGCATGTTTCGATGTCCATCAAACAAAAAGTGGAATTGCTGCAAAAAAAATGGATAAAGGCATGAAGAAAGTGGCAAAGATGTTAGTGAAAACGAAAAGATCTCAATTTACAAGTTAGTCGGTATTCTCGGCACAGCAATTACAGGACTTGTACAGCGGAACTTTGTAACTGAACAAGAAATTATGTCTGTTTATAGAATTAAAGAGAAAGTATTATCACATAAAACGAAGCAACTTGAACAACTTACGTTGAAAGAAATGCTTAATAAAGTAAACAAATACATATTAAGCTTTTTTTTTTTTTTTTTTTTTGTAAATTGTGATACCCTTTAGATCATAATTGCTCTTTATTTCATAAATTAGGGATTCATATTTTTAAAATCATATATTTAAAATAAATGAATGGTTATTTTAAAAATATATTTTGTTCATAGTACCTAATTGGGCTGAGGAGCACAAGGTTGGGCACTGCTGTTCTAAGGCATTTCTTACAAAAATATAATTTTAAAGTGGTGTTCCGACTGAAATTAAACGGACTGCTGAAAATATGTTCCGAGTGAAAGGTGCTTACAAATGTATGTTAGCCAAAAAGGTGTAATTTTAAATACTAATTTAACATAATTTTTTTAATGCAGTAGATTATTTAAAAGGCTATCAGATTTAATTTATAAATAACGTCATTAGTTTTTACCTGTTTCAAAAGAAGGGGAAAAAATCTCGGCCGCTGGTGGGTTTAAAAATAAGGAATTAAGAATCTATTGCTGAGTTAAATTATAGAGCTAATGTAATTATTTTTTTCCTTACATATTCCCCCTAACAATGAGAAAAAGGCTTGGCAGCAGGAAAGCTTTTTTAGAAGAAAGCATTACTGTGTTAGCGAAACAAGGGAGGTACAATTTTGAAAATAAAAAATCATAAAATTTTGTTCTAATAATTTCTTTTAAAACACACTCAATTCAAACAAGATAAAAAGTGAACAAAATCTTGCAGATATTATTAACAACAAATGCTAACAGGAAATTATTTTGAAAGTCTACAAGTTTATTTTTCGGTGAAAATACTGTAAAGAGTATCAACATTTTTTCAAGAAATAATTGGAAAAATTCAGAGTTCTGGAATATCTTTGCTTGAACATGATAATCATGATATTTCACTTCTTGTCTTGAAAGTCTTTCATAAAAAACTGTTGTTGCCAATATAAAACCAAAAATTTCTTTAGCATATTCGTGAAATTTGTATTAAAATTAATATTTAACACTTATAAAACAATCCACATTTAATTGCAAAGCAATGCAAAATGTACTTTAAAACTTAATAACAAAAAAACTAACAAAATACAACACAATAATAGAAATTAAAATGTGCATGTCCTTGCAAAGTGTATCACTGTTACAACTTGCTGATGACTGTGGGATGCTTAAATACAATAGAACCTAAAAACCTCTGTTCTTTAAAAAAGGTAACTTTACAACTTGCTGATGACTGGGGGATGCTTAAATACAATAGAACCTTAAAACCTCTGTTTCTTAAAAAAGGTAACTAACTGGCTTTTAGTACTATACAGTTATCAAAGTTTGCATTTATATCATATGGCCATAAAAATCTTCAAATTAGTTAATTGAAATTAAAAAAAATATACAAAAAATTTAATTTAAGACGAATAACTTGCATTTCAAATTAGGTCTTTTAAATTTTGTAAATAAAATTCCACATTGCCTTCTAATAATATGGACCATCTAATTTTGTGAATATAAAATGAGAAAATAAATAAACATCATGATTATAACTGTTTACGGTAGGTTTTTAAAAAGTTTAAATATAAAATTTTTTAAATACACCTATTAATTTTGATACAAAATCACATGAAATTTCAAAATATTAATTTTTCATTCGAAATAGCATTACTAAAATTATGCTTTCTATTATTATCAACATTACTAATATACTTATTTCATACAAACTCGAAGACCCCCACAGCTTTCTCTTAATACAAACACTTTCATCTTATGGGCAAATCTATATTAACGAATTAGTTTATACTTGCCAATGATTAAGGGATACTCAGGCAGTTTTTTTTTTTTTTTTTTTTTTTTTTTTTTTTTTTTTTTTTTTTTTTTTTTTTTTTTTTTTTTTTTTTTTTTTTTTTTTTTTTTTTTTTTTTTTTTTTTTTTTTTTTTTTTTTTTTTTTTTTTTTTTTTTTTTTTTTTTTTTTTTTTTTTTGTTTTTTTTTTTTTTTTTTTTTTTTTTTTTTTTTGTTTTTTTTTTTTTTTTTTTTTTTTTTTGGCCTTTTTTGTAATAACAGATAATTTGGAAAGATGCAGTCCAGAAAATTATTATGAACAATTTCTACTTTCAAAGCAGAAAAGGGAAAAGACCCATAATAAAATAAGGAACTGTGTAACTTTGAATTGGTATATGCTGAAATATTACAAGCAAAAAATTCTGGTTTTCTAAGTGAAAATGTAATTATCTGAGTGTTTTGTAATAAGTACTCACTAAAAGAAAAGTTCATTTAATTGGTTGTACAGTAAAAAGTCCGAAATCTGGACTTCCAGACCAACAGTTGAAATTAAAAATAAATAAATAAAATCTTCCCCCTACAAAATCTAAGAATGGAGAGCATAATTACAAAAAGAAGTGCAGCTTTTCTCGGCTCCAAAATTTTGCTGCCTGGTACCTCCCTAAATTCCACTGCTCAGTGGCTCTCTTAAATGAAAAAAAAATCTGCTGTCTCCTAATTTTCATTGCTTGAAGCTCCTCTAAATTCTAAAATTTTTGCCAACCCTAATTTTAACATTCATTGCAGTCCAACCACACGTATCTGCTCTGGCTCTGTGGAGTAGAGGTGGGAGTTAGCACTTTTCTGTTTGATCTAAACAATAAGTGGAACCCTAATATTGTTATGTCTACAAGTCACTTTTTGAGATTTAAACAGATGATCTAAAATCCAAAATCATGAAGTTTCGATGATTCTGGATCTTGTACTTAGCGCTAGATAATTATTTTAGTGTTAAATAAATACTCTGTAAACAAAAAATTCTAGTTTTCAAATGAAATCCAATAATATATTCAATGTGGTTGTTGTGTATGATGTGTAATGTAAGCAATAACCACACTGTTAACAAAATAAAAAAAATAATAATTTAAGTCACAAAAGGAAAATATTTACAAAAACAAAACAACATCAAATTCATTCTATGCTTTCAGATGCTCATTCTGTGCTTTCAGATGCTTTATAATGTCTATATTCAGGCTTTAATTCCCATGTGCTTTTGTGAGGATTCTTGGCATTGTAGTTGCAGATCTCTTTTAGTATCTCTTTCAAATATGGCTAAAAAAAAGGAAAAAAATTCTTAATATTCCAGAAGCTATTCTGCACAATAAAATTAAAATAATTAGTATAAATTTAGATGCAGCAACAGAACATAATGAATGAAAAATAGTCATGAACAAACTACTGGTAACTATAACAATACTATTTCCTTAAAGCCCCAGTGTCAGTCTTGACTGCAGTTCCCAAGAAAGTCATCAGAAGAATAAAAGAGTAGGAAGGTGATCAAAAGACCTGAACTTCGAAAGATTGAAAACATGAGAAATAAATACGTTTACAATGAGGTAGAATGCAAATGAAAATAAAATGATGAAATGCTAATAAAAATTGAATACACCAAATAAAAATAATCAATGGAATACGATTTCAGATGAAAAGACTATATACAACAGAGGAAAGACAAAATTAAGCAAATTTTTCGAAATTGCATTAAAATGCTACGGGGGGAAAAGGTGAGGAAATATGGCATGTATCTTAGTTGTCTAAACTGAGGATGGCAAACTAATATTTACTATTAACAACTCAATGTGGAATAAAAAATTTAAAGAAAACATGAAAAATAATTTTAATAACCATTTTAAATCACTGAAAGTTTTTTTCACTAAAACCAAAAATTTACAAAAAAAAAAAAAAAAAAAAAAGAGCAAGCAAAAAAAAATTTAGTAAAATACACTAAATTATTAATTTTATTATTCATGCCTAAAAAGGGGTTTTAATTTTTAGCTGAACAGAAACTGAGACGCCTTTTATTCTATGCACATGATAATAATAATAAAAAAAGAAATCATTAACAGTAGTGCTACAAAAAATGAAAACAAGATCATGCGTTTAGTTTCAAAGCATGCACTGAATACAGTTTTGTTACTTTTCTTTAGAAATAAGTTTTAGGCAATTAAAAAAACTATCATTGTTCAACTTTGCCAGAGAAAATTTTCACAGATATTACAGAATCAAAAAAGTTTCAGACTCCTAAAATAGTTATCATAAAAACAAAACTATAAATGATTTTAACAAGTTCAGCTTATGCAATTTCGGAAAAATATTTAATATTTATGATTTAAATGCATTTTTCTTTAAATCAATCATATAAAAATGTGACCAAAATATTCTCACGAACTGCATTCTTTGCTTTTACTCAATGACAGACAGATTAAATATAAAATTAAATATACAGTCAAAAGTCGTTAATTCAGACACCTGTAATCCGAAATGATCTATAATCTGTACCTCAAAGCTAAAAACTTTCTGCGCATGCACCGCGTTGACACATGTGCATAGGCGTTTACGCGTGCACGTAAGACCTTTACGGCTGCGCATATGCGTTTGCACAAGCGCAGAATACGTTTTCGCGTGCGCGTTTAATGTATAACGGACGGTATAAGATAAATTATCTATTTCAGTTAATGTTGATGATTGCGTTGTTCCTTAATCTTCGAATTGGATGCGGCTTATTATTTTTTGCAGACTGTAAGAGCAATGTTATAAAAGTAAACTTGAACTTTCGATTATGTCAAACAGAATTTCCGATGCTGGAGCTCCCAAAGGATCCACAAAACGAAAGTATGTTTCGATGTCCATCAAACAAAAAGTAGAATTGCTACAAAAAATGGATAAAGACATGAAGGTGACAGAGAGGTTAGTGAAAACGAAAAAATTTCGATTGACAAGTTAGTCAGTATTCTCGGCACAGCAATTACGGGATTTGAACAGCGGAACTTTGTAACTGAACAAGAAATTATGTCTGTTTATAGAATTAAAGAGAAAGTATTATCACATAAAACGAAGCTTTACTCTTATATGTTTGTAAATTGTACATTTTTTGCTTTAAAAATGATTGAATCATGTTGTTCTTATCTTCCAGTTAAGGTTTTTATGCCTTTAGTAAATCTGTATGCAATATTTTTAGAATTATCAACAATTTTAAAGTTGTTTAAGTGCCACTAAGCCTAATAATGTTTTTGATGGTGGCCATTGTTTGTTTACATTTGAAACAGTAGAATAGTGGATTTGTTGCCAATCTAGAGAAACTTAGCTTTGCAACAACAAAGATAATGCCTTCATTTATTATTGCGAATTAAATCATGCTTAATCCTTTCTGGCACAGTTACAGAAAGAAAAGAGACAGCTCTCCTGTCGTATAATGTGACTTATTACTCGCCGTTTCTCAGGGGAAAAGAGCTCTTTTTTTACCTTTTTTCATTTGTGTCAGAAGGAAATAGTGCAAGAGGGGGGTGTCCTTAATGAGGTTTTTTCTTGATTAATTTCCACCTATTTCGACAGACACTCAGGGCATGTTCCCATGAGAACAGGAAGTCCTCTAATATAAACCTGATGTTTCATCAAAAGTGAGGATTGTCATTAAAACTCAATATTATACAGAAAAGAGAGTTAATCAAAATAAAATTAATATAATTAAAACCATATATCCTATATGTAACTTTGTTATATTTATGCGGCAGAGGAAAGAATATCTCATTATAAGCCCAACAAATACAGAGAATAATTTACAAAGTATTTAACAGTTCAGAAAATTTTGCATATAATGAATTTAATATGAAGAATTAAAGACTAACTTTATTTCATCAAAAGAGATACAAGTACCTATTTTATTATGATCAGGAAAACATCTGTGTGTGCTATCAGAAATACGGTTTTAATATTGAATTAAAATAATTTCAAATAATTTAGTTAAATTTTGACTGCTTTGATTTTACAAAATTATCTTCATTCCCACTTGAAATTTCATATTAAGGCATAATTATTATTATTTGTAAAATTTTTTAGGATGTCGTAACTATTTTGGATTTCCTGAAAATGTGTGCTATTTTAAAGTGGGGATTCGTCTTGTGGGCTTTTACCATGCAGTTTTCTAACTAGCTGCTGGTTATTCAGGTAGGAAACCATTTGCATTCCTTTTCTTTTTGCCCCCCCAGCTGAGTGAAAAAGCAGTTAGAGACGACAGCCTTGCCTGACTGCTTTACTCTCTTTCGAACCTAGGGTGCCAAGGAATAGTCTGAGGCGGAGGGGACAAAAGAGCCATTAGAGGTTGGTGAGATTTAAATTAAAGAGGATTTTATACATTTCTGTTATTTACTAGAAAATAACAATATCTGAAACCTCGCTTGTAACTGAAGTTAAAAAAAAAAACCTTTCTTGCATTTTCATTAGTCTATTTCTTGAATTATTTTTATCTAAAGATTTAGATAGAACTTCATATATTTTTAAAATTTTCAATAACTGAAAAATGAATGAAATACTATTGAAGATGCTTTGAAAATATTTCTTAACCATTTTAAAGAGATAATTAACTATTTTAATGGCAGAATTGCAGAGTGGAAAAATATGCAAGTTTTTGATTGAATAGTGTCTTTTAACAAATTTTTGATGAACCAATTAAACAAATCTCTTACATAGAAGCAAAATCATTGTTTAAAACTCTTGATCTATTTATAATAAATTGAAATATTACATACATTAAAATTCCTACAAAGGTAATACTTTTCAGTTTAACATTTGCATGGTTGAAAATGGATTTAACCATTCGAATAACAAAAAGTTTTAGTGAAGCAGATTTAACACGTTGAGCGCTATGTCAGCTATCTGTGACTAAACTAGACTTTGCGTTTAAGCCGTGTCAGCCATCTGTGGCTGACATGGCTTAAATGCAAAGTTTAGGCCGCGTCGACCGCCGCTGGCTGACAGTGTGTAACATGATATATAACTATAAAATTTATACTGTTTTATGGAATTACAGAAAATTTATTTACAATTTACTTAATTTTGATTCATTACAGGATTTTATTGAAACACAGTAAATATAAAAACAGTTCTCCATTACAGCTATTACAAAATGTGACAACTCTATTAGTCTTTTTTCTAGCCATTACTCCTGGCCCTACAATACCAGCGCTTTTAAGCGGCACACGTGGCCTGAACATGATTGCCTATAATCACCTTGAAGTCGTATTTAGTCTAAGAAATAGTCGCCATGATTGCCTTGAAGTCATATTTAGTGGAGCTCATGCAAAGGAAGAAAGAAATAGCTCACAGTACCTCCAAAGTTAGCCAAACCTTCTCAGTTAACACAATAAGTAACAAGGTTATTTGCCTAAAAGGATGAATCTTTAAGGGAAATTGGCTTGCATGCATGTAGCACATCAGGAAAACCAAAAAGATGCCCATGCAGCCAACCTGCTTGCCTAGAACTGAACCCAGATCGGATCATCAGTATTCAGTGACTTTGACTCTCAGCCACTGTAGACAAGAAATAATAAAGATTCACATTGTAAGAAACGATTTTTTAAAAACTTTTTGAAAAATGACCAGAATCTATGAAGCAAGTGGACATTCAAACATCATTTAGGAAGACTTCATGCACAAACAGTATCAATGACTTTAAAACAAAAAAACTGATTAAATATTATTAAAACTGCAGATGAATTGACTTACTAATTTATTTTATTTGGTAAATAAATTTGTAGAATTAATATGTGCAATTTTTTTGTTTCTCGACACATCTGAGAACAAAAATTATTATAATGGTGGTAGTATAATAATGTGATATTGCTAAAGTCTTGAACATGTAAAAGTATCAGATTTTTGCTATAATTTAATACTGCTTGGAATATCCATATCAACTTAATACAAGTTATGCGTACCACTGGCTGCCGCGTTATTTTTTCCAAATCTTTAATGTTATAATACTGGTGCTTCTCGAATGCAGCAAACAACATATCCATGACTTTATCTTTGTCGTCTCTAGCCTTCCGCCCTTCTGCTTTCTTCTTCTGCTCGTACTCGATCTACAAGTTTAAACAGATTTGTTTTAAAAAATTAATTACCACAATTCGTATTAAAGATATATAGCAAAATATAACGTAAATATAATTTCAAAATACATTGTCTCAAAAATTAAGTAAACAGGTACTTAAAGATATATATCAAATATAATGTCAATATAATTCAAAAATACATTGTCTCAAAAATTAAAAATATAAAAAAGTTGCTTCCTAAAAATACTCTAGACAAAGTTGCTCTCAATGAAAGAGAAAGGAGGAGTTCAGAAGAAAATGTTATAACAAATTTATAATAAATAATATGAATAATTATCAACAACCAATTAAATCAATTAGAAATTATAAATTAATTTGTAATTTAAGTATACATAATCATAAAACACAACAAAAAGTGTTCAAATATCTTTCTTTTCACTCCTCAACAAAAATTGTTTCACAACACAACTCATTTTTGGGAACAAGTGTACTCAATTATTCAGCATTTGAAATCTGCACTTCTAAACAGCAGAGCCAGATATTTCTACATAGGAACATAAATAAATATACACCTTAACTGCTAAAGGACCAAATTATTTTTTAATTATCTGCCAAAAATTTGCTACATTTTTGTTGCTGATCTGAAAAGAAACCAGTGAGCCTAAACATAATTCAAAAATATTTTTGTCAATAAGGGCCAAATAAAGGCTTACTTGCTAAGGATTGGCAAGCAAACCTGTTTGTTTTAAATGTTATCATATCCATAATTTTGTCATTCAAAAATAGATTGAAATAGTCTAAAGCAGTGGTACCAAATTTTGAAAATTAATTTTTGGATTTCGAACAAAGGTAAATCAGTGGAGGCAGTGGATCTGCATTTAGTATAAACTATTGACAAGCATAAGTCATATCTGGTTATAATTTATCAGACAAGCTAAATGATTCACCAACATCTAAATCATGCTCAATGTATGATCTACCAGGGTGTTCATATTCACTTTTGTCTTCTGACATTTTTAACGTATATAATATGAGTGTAAAATATCACTAAAGAACATGCAAACAATGTGAATCAACTTAATTTGTGTAAAGAAATACCAGCATCTACTAAAACTTAAAAAACCAGTGGTAGTCAACCTGGTTCTCACCAACCACTAATGGGCATTCCAGTTTTCAACGTGCATGGTAGCAGAGCAACCAAACAGTACTGCGAGTACATACTAATCAACTAACTGCTGGCTATTCAAGATCAGGATAGCAGTCAGACTCTGTTACAGGGCATTTGTATATGGAGAGCACACAAACTCTTTTGCAACCACCTTACCAACACTAGGAGATGAGAAGAATGTTTTTCATACTGGATCAGAAAAGCACACACTTTTCCAAAAGTCACAGTCACGCATCAGACTTCAATTTTTGTTCTTGTGATGTAAGTGAGGCTAATTTGCTATGTATTCGAAATTAAAGTCAGTACACAGTTAGATTTAGTTCTGACAGCAAACAAAATGCTTTAAAACAGCATGAGCTCATGTCTCAAAAATAAAATTCAAAATGGCGAATAGCCATACAGCTATTATCTGACGATGGCTTTCATAGAATATGTTGCAAATAAACAACATCCAATGTGTTTATTGTGCCATAAAACATTATCCAACAAGGCAGTGGAGCCAAGTCAGTTGCGAAAACATCTTTCTACAATGCATCCAAATGACAAGGACAAGCCCACTGAATATTTTCAGGAAATATATAAAATATTTCAAAATCATTCAATTAATATTGCATCATTTAAGAAACAACATACAACAAATGAAGATTAGTTAGCTACCACTTATAATATTGCAGAAAGTGATAAAAGCTATAATATTGGAGAAACTATAATAATAGACTCTATAAAACAATTTATCTCAGCAGTAATCTATCATGATATACACTATGAAATTTACTACTTTAACAACAGCGTTCATTCCAGAAATTAAGCGCCGTGACAAAATTTTGGCAACCAAATTTTCTTGACGGTGGAGAGAAGTGAAACAATGCAGTTTATCTGTGCCTGATAATTTTGTAGAGTTGTGTAGATTGCCAATGAGAGGCGTACTGCATGCCAAATATGGGACGCATGCCATAGGTCGCCAACACCTGCTTTATACAGTTCTAGTCAGTTCAAGTTACCTTGTGATAAAGGAAATTGCATTTAACTTGGGTTACACCCCTAAGCAGTTAATAAAGAAACCTGGATTGCTATAAGGGTGTCAATGATCAGTTTTCAACATCAAAAACTGATCTTAATTTAGTGCATCCTCTTACACAACAGTACAGTTATGAAGATTTCTATCTTTTTGAATTTTTGTGCAATTAGAATCTGTGATTTTGTTTTTGAAAGCTTTTAATATTTGTAACATAAAAAATAAAACATAAATCTAATAAACCCAATTAAAAAAAACTTTTGTATATATTCTTATTTTAAGTGTTGTCTTTTTATCTATGCAAATTATTTGTATTTATGATTGTGTTATATGTTATACAGAAAAAATAAGTGGGTCAATGAGAAAAAAGGTTGAGAATCACTGTTCTACATGCTGAAGACAACAGTTCACAATCATTCACCTTGTAGAGGTATTTTTTTTAATACAGTCAAAAGTCGTTAATTCGGACACCCATAATCCGGAATGATCTATAATCCGGACCGCAAAGCTAAAAACTTTCTGCGCATGCGCCGCGTTGGCACATGCGCACAGGCATTTTACGCGTGCGCCTAAGACCTTGACTACTGTGCATATGCGTGTGCGCAAGTGCAGAATAAGTTTTCGCCTGCGCGTTTAATGTATAACGGACGGTGTAAGCTAAAATTATCTAATTACCTATTTCAGTTTCGAATTGGATCCCGCTTATTATTTTTTGCAGACTGTAAGAGCAATTTTATAAAAGTAAACTTGAACTTTCGATTATGTCAAATAGAATTTCCGATGCTGGAACTTCCAAAGGATCTACAAAACGAAAGTATGTTTCGATGCCCAACAAACAAAAAGTGGAATTGCTGCAATAAATGGATAAAGAAGTGAAGAATGTGACAGAGAGGTTAGTGAAAACGAAACAATTTCGATTGACAAGTTAGTCGGTATTCTCGGCACAGCAATTAACGGGACTTGAACAGCGGAACTTTGTAACTGAACAAGAAATTATGTCTTTTTATAGAATTAAAGAGAAAGTATTATCACATAAAACGAAGCAACTTAAACAATTTACATTGAAAGAAATGTTTAATAAAGTAAACAAATAAATATTAAGCTTTTATTTTGTAAATTTTGATACCCTTTAGATCATAATTGTTCTTTATTTCATAAATTACGGTTTCATATTTTTAATTTTATAATTTCTGCATGCCATCTTACGAGATTTAAACTCATGATCTATAATCCGTAAAAATCGATAATCCGGAATCGACGAAGTCTCGACGAGTCCGAATTAACGACTTTTGACTGTATAGAAGACATGAAAAATAAGCAATGCCCTCATTGGGACTCAAACCACGGACCTCTCAAATCCCCCCTTAGCATTCTGATCACTACATCACGAAAGCATGCTACAAGGTAACCAAGAAGTTTTTGCCGTTTTGGATAGTCAGAAACAAAAATTCATAAAACAAATAATAATCAACACTAATCCTCAAAGTAGTCACCCTCGGCATCCAGTGCCTTTTGCGAAAGAATGGCTAGCTGTGCGATGCCATTGCGGTAAGTTTGTCTTGGATGCAAAGAAGTCCGTGAGAGCCTTTTCGAGTTGTTGAAGGATTTCCCAAAAAGATGGTTGCGCAGGGTATGGAAAAGGTGGTAGTCTGTTCATACGAGGATTGGAGAGTATGATGGATGGGGTAGTGTCTCCCAGCACAGTCGCTAGACGGTGTCTCTGGCATCCCGAGCTACATGCGGCCTTGTGCTGTCATGGAGGAGTACACCCTTAGGTCTGACTAATGCTGGCTCTTCAAACATCAGTACCTGATGCACACATTCCAACTGCTGTGAGTACAGGCCTGCTGTGATGGTTCTGGCCCACTGGCAGGAGCTGATAGTGCAGCACTTGGTGACTAGTCTACCAGATACAGAGCGGGATCTTGCGTGGGCGGAGAGAAGTTCTCGCAGTGCGAGGCACAGGGTTCCGTGGTGACAACCAATGTCTGAAATGACTGGGTGTGTCATACTAGAAAAACTTTTTATCACTTGTAAGTACTCAATCAAATATGGATACATTGTGGTGCCGAGTCAGCAATGACAAACAGGCAGCGGCATGCTGCTGCTTGTTTGCATTGGACAGTGAGTGGGGTAGCAAACTTGCTCAGCTTGTATGCCTTTCTTATGTGGTGCAAATGGAGTCTGATCATTTTCATCAGATACCTGGAAGTGTGCAGCAAGCTCACCACATGTTTGGCTACTGTCACCAGGGCCTCATCGTCCAGCGCTTGTGGCCGACAGCTGCATCACTAAGAGACATATTCCCTGACCTAAACTTCTGGAACCACTGCCTAGTGGTTCGTTCATTAATGGCATCATCCCCAAAGGCCTGGCAAATTCGACGAGTTGATTCTGGTGCTGACAGGCCTACTTTAAAATCATACAGCAAACAACTCCGAGCAAGTGCCTTTGACACGTCCATTTCAATCAGTCACTGTGTGAGTTATGTTTGAATGCAACATGCTTTTATACTCATGATGCAACATGCTTTTATACTCTTGGTCAATGTCCAAACTCCCATTCTAACCACTTCATAGCCAGGTTTGGTGACTATTTTTATGTTGAAGTTCACTCTTCCGATGTCATATCAGAAACGGAAACTTCTTTTTTGGTTAACTCGTAGAAGGCGGAAGAAATATGTTATAACCTCATTAAGTATTATCACAACAAATTCCTGCAGTCACTTCATTAAGTGAATTATCAAAAAAGCAGTAAGTAAAGTGGCAGAATTTGTAGAGAAACTGAATTCAACTAATTTATTACAACTAGAAACACATAAATAAGCAGTTTCATAACATTTTAATTAGTAAAATAAAAAAAGTTTGTTTAAGAACAGTTCATAATGTTTCAGGAAATTAACTGTTGAAAGAATTGGAGCGCAAATTTTGCCATTTACTGCAAAAATAGGGAGTTAAGATATCCCAGTATGAGCATGATTTGAATTTACTTTATGTTTGTTTTAGACAAATACTGTCACCGATTTATTGCAGCTTGCAGCACATAATTAAGTTCTTGCTTTAAACTTATTTTCACTTTTTTATATAATATTTATTTTGTTTACTAATTTCTAAGCTACACCTTTTTGGACACTTTGGTGGGTTTTTTTAATGCAAAATGCATTGCCAGTTTTAACCATTATTATGTTTGAATTAAGTTCACAAGAGATGACAACCTGGCTATTTAAATTCAACATGTTCTTAACGAGAAAAAAGGAATAGCACCATTCTAATTTTTATAGGTTGCTTGAATGTTGACAAGATAATTTTGAGTTTTCTTTAAAATCATATAGCAAACAACTCCAAACGAGCGCCTTTGACACGTCCATTTCAATCAGTCGCTGTGTGAGTTACATTTGAAATACTGATGCAATGTGCTTTTATACTCTTGGTCAATGTCCAGAGTCCCATCTCTTATTTTTTTCATTAGTAAAAGTAAAGTTTAGCATTAATTTTCACTATTAACAGTTCAAAATGGATTTTAAGGAGTTTAATAATCTTCTAGAATAACACTTTTTACAACATCATTAGGCTTAAGATAAAATAACACGCAGCACAAGTATTAATTTATAATTCAAACAACAAAAATCAGCATTATATTTGCAAATTTTCACAAGACTACTTTCCATCCGAACCAACATCCTCAGCTGCCAAAGCGCAAATGAACGAGATGCGGTATAGTGCTTAGATAAGATAAGAATGGCTGGACAAGAGTTAAGCTACTGGCGGCATCTACTGATGAAATGAGAACTAAAATATACCGTAATTTCCGGAAGAAACGCCTCGGCGTTTCTACCCATGCGACGTTTAGGTGCACTAAAAATAAAATATTTCCTATGATGGTCATTGTACATAGTTTGGATGGCCTTGTCATTGTGCATAGATTGGTGCTGTTCCCACACAAAAGACCACTCAGTTGCTTTTTGCGAACGTTATTTTGTTTAGGTTATTTCCCTTGAACGGACCTACATGCCTTATTCACCCTAAACGAGATCTCAGAACAATAACATTCTTCCCCCTTTCAAATCAACATTCTCATCGTTTTGAATAATCTCTCTTTCCTGTGCCATTCGATGAATCTTTCCAGGACCCATCCTCTTTCCCACCCCTGCATTTTCTGCAATTTTTTTCAAAGGCGGACACGACTTCCACCTGTCCTCGCAATAATGAACTCTGACGTATTTCCTCTTCAGCATGAATGGATATTTCTTGGCATTCTGCCAGATACAGATCCCGTCAGTTTGGGTACAAGTATATGTTGGATAGTTTTTAATTAAGAAAGGAGCGGAAAATTTTTGAAAAATGTCTACCTAAACGGCACAGAAGCTATACATTTCTGGTACCTTTAATTTATTTTTGAGTTATGGTTTCATTTCATGCATTTTTCTTAACTGGTATGTCATATATCAGGACTTAGGTTGAGTTTTTGCATCTATACGGCCCAAGTCGATGTCACGCACAATTTAATCTATTGCGGCGATTCTGTGTAATTTTAATTTTTTTCCCGCCATTTTTCTCGAGTGCGGCGTTTACGCTGATGCGGCCTTTCTTCCGGAAATTACGGTAATTTCTTTAAAGGCTGAAGGCAAAGATGGATTGGAATTAGGGTCGTTAACTAGAAAAAAAAAAAAAAAAAAAAAAGAAAAAAAAACTTCCTGATTTTCATGATTAACTAGAACTAAAAATAACTTGACTAGAACCAAAAAAAATCTTTCCGTTCTAGTTAATGACCCTAATTCCAATCCATCTTTACCTTCAGCCTTTAAGGAAATTATATTTTAGTTCTCGCTTCATCAGTAGATGGCACCAGCAGCTTAATTCTTTTCTATACTATTATTTAATGGTCAATATCATTTCTGTGACTACTTATGACCTCTAGCCAGCATGATTCTAACTTGCCAATACCACTTTTGAAAAACATTAATGCAATACCGTAAATTTTCTTGCACTACGTTAACAGAGAGCAAGAAGGAAAATGAACTTATTCTAATATTGATAACTATTGATACATTTGTAATGTTTACTCACATTGAATTTATGATCTGATACAGGTTTATAACTTGTCACAACTTTTGTTATCTGTTTCACTTGTCTCTCTGGCTGACTGGCTTTTAATATAGATTCCCTGAAAGAAAAAAAAGGTAAAATGATAACAAATAATAAAGATATTTTTTCACCCATAATGTATGAACTTTTACACAGAGTTTACAAAAAAATGAAAGTTTATAATGATTTCTTATATAAAGTAAAATATTGTAATTAGATGGATTTTAATAATGGAAACCATGAATGAAACTATTTAACCTAGTTGATAGAAAATTGAGTAATAATCCTAAAGGATTCTAAATCATTTTAATTTTGTATTTTTTAATAGAATTCTGTAAGACAATTTTGTAATGGTTTTTCCTGTTGAAAACTTTCAAAAAAGCACACAGCTTTTACAAGATAATGGACAATGGGAAAGCACATTATGGGTATTAACCTAATCTAGTCTTCTAAAGAAGACTCGATTTTAAAACATCGAGAAAAACCTATGAAACTACCTACTAATTTTGCAGGATTTTAAACCTGATCAAATTACCAGAGTTTACTTGTCTTATCACAGAATCAACAAGTCTGTCCTAATTTATACAGATCAAGGTAACTAATTTTGTATGCTTTAAAATATGCAACTGTATTATAATGACATAATAAAGCAAACTGCATTAATTCTAACAAAACTGTAAACCAAAAGGTTTTCCAGCCAAGAACTTAAAAGTTTGCCATTTGCTTCAACATTTTCTATTTATTCAGATTCAGCATATAGTGTAAATCAATGGATTAAATAATGAACATTAATTAATACAATTTTAAATTATGCAGCATATAAAAAAACTGACAAGTCAAAGCAACTTTCTTCATCATATACATATTAAAAACACTTTGCAAAATTTCAGATGTTTTGCACAGCATAAACTGCTCTTTACATCTAGAAAGTCACATAAAATTATATTTTATTGCCAAAGTAAGAAAAATAAAATTAGCATATACATGTACATAGTTACATGTCAAAATTCTAAAGCAATGAAATATGAAAATATTAAATTTCACCTCTTTAAATTCATATAGCGTTGATCCGCTAGGGGACGACATTCACCTTTTTGCAAAACATGACCTCCCAGAACAAGCTTTCCTAAAACACAATATTTATTTACAAAACATACAAAAATTAGAAAGATTTAATATATATATATCCAATGCATCATTTATATAAGGTGTCTCAACAAAAGCATTGAATTTAATATGACCCTAAAAATACTTTATTCTCAGAAAATGGAAATTATTTTTACGTACTAACAACAGGTAAATGTTTTGATTTAAAAGTGTTCAGTTTTTTTTTTTTTTTTTTTTTTTTTTTTTTTTTTGGACGTGCCACAACTGGCATTCCATTACTGTCAGTTCGTTTTGCAGCTTCGTCGACTTGGAGCACTACATAAACAAACAGATAGTTTTCACTGTGAAAACTTATAACAAGAATGTTGAGTGTTACACACAAACTGTTAGGAACCTTTGTGCAATCTTTTGACATGAAAATTCATCTAATGGAACAATAAATTGTAGATTGATAAAGAATTCTGAAGAGACTGGTTTGACAGCAGACATTAAATCACCACATTCTTAATCCATAAATTCATTCTATAAAAAACATCACTATTATGTGTAACAATGTTACTGCAAGTCACAGAACCTGAACTTAAAGTGTAAAACTAAAAGAATTTAAAGAGGAAACTAATTTGGCAGTAGTCAGCTCGATAGGCAGATAGGTCAGAAACCTCTTATAAATTTCAGCAAGTGTACAGTGCTGTAGACCATGTTGTGGAGAACATATGCCTAACATTTTTCATTCTTAAGTCAGAATATTCACCTATTCGCTCATTTCTGTCGTTTTTCGTGCCAAAAACGGTAAAATAGCGGATGTACTAAAAAATAGGATGCACGTGTGCTCATGTAAAATTGCCAAGCGTGTGTGCTGGAAGGTTAAGTTAGTTGAATTAAAAATACTTCTATTTTCAGAGCTATTTTCATTATAAAAGCTGCAGAATTCTCTACAATGGTAAGTATCAATTGACAGATGGCTGACAAGTTGGACAGAAAAAAATCCGATATCGTTCATTAGAAACTGCATGGAGATAATCGTGGCTGACGATGGGATAAAAGGCATTTTACTTGTGCTACTAAATTAATACAAACACATAAAACTTATAATACAGATAAAATTGGACAATCTTATATAACATTATCAAAACACATTATTAATATTTAAAAGCAAAATAGCAACTGGTTTAAGAAACTGAAAGACCAAGTCACTGTGTTACTAACGTACAGTATCGACCTAACAATTAAATAGTAATAATAATTATTGACAAAAGCAGAAAACCTTGATGTTTGAAAGGAGTCAAGAATTTAACTTAGCAACAAGCAGCAAGAACTCATTAATGATAAGTAGTATTTTTACAGATTTTTATTTGAAATGGGACTGTGAACTGAAAAATGAATATCCCCATTTTAGGTTTTCCTCCAAATATGGGTTATAATATATGGCTCTTAGAGTAAGCAGCGTACTGAAATATCCTTTAAATATCATTATAGAAAGAATATTCAGAAAATAATAAACAAAACTGAATCTTGTGAAGATGCAAACACCTCAAAGGAGATTAGTAGTTGATATCTATGCTAGAAGTTATGCATTTTATAATCAAAGCAGGGAGTCCATCTCTCAAAACAGTTAAAAAATATTTTTGAAAATTCTTTTATATAGAAGAAGCCTCAGAAGAAAAGCGAGCTAATATTTCAGACATTCATGTAAGGATAAATTTTTAAAATATATTACAATTGGCATCATTATTTGAGACCACATGTGTAAAAACTGGCTATGGTGTTACACAAACTGTTAAAAAAAAAACTGCCTGAACAGAAAAATCTACAGCAAAAATGATGCAGAAAAAAGTGATGACATGCCAACCTAATCGGATTTAGTAAAAGCACTACAAATTCTAAGAAAAACTCTTGAATTGAAAGGTGCTGATAAAAAAAACTACCAGCAGTTTTATGAAATTGTAATAAAATTGAAAAATGTTGGACAGTATACAGCCAATGCAGATAGAGCAATTTTGTTTGTAAGAGATTAAAATTTATCAAGATGTAAGATTCCAACCTGCGTACCTTTAAGTTACAGTTAAAGTGAGGAACCTTAAGAACTGATAAGCGAATAATCGCTTGAGTTCGTGAGACAGAGACAAAATGTGAGAAGGGTTAAGTACCCTTTATTATTCCAAATAAAGTTCACAGAATAGTCCTTCTTGGAGTTTTACAATAAAGCCTCCACTTGGGCTTGAACTCAGGAAACTAAGAAATTATACTTAACTAATCTAACTAAAAAGATATAGCCAAAGCTATCAAGATTCTAACAGAGTTGGCCCCTTAATGCTAACTAACGTCGAAGCTATCAAGGGCCTAAAGTACTGCGGAGGGTAATAATACCTTGAGAAAGTAGCCTAAAAAGGCGAACGTGCACCAGTCAGAATCTCTGGCTCTCTAACAAAGTCAGTAGAACTTTACAGTTAAATACTTCTCATTTGCATTCAAACGCGATTCTGAAAATACATTCTGGCCGGAAGTTGCAATCTGAAATTCAGGAAGATAGAAAAGTAACTTTTAACTAAAAATTAACTGTTAGAAAAATTAACATAAACCTTACAAAGAAAGTAATTATAAAAATATTTTTATAAGAAATTAATTTCAAAATTGCACAACTCATTCAATTTTAGCATTAATTTTTAATTATTATTTTAGGATTTATCATAAAAGTTTAAAATTACTGGAGAAATTAAACAACAAGAATCAGCAAAATTTACAAACATTATGCCAATTCTTGCCGTTTAACTCCTCCAATAATTGTTATTCAGCATGTTATTTTAACCTAAAAAAAGTATAAAATTGATAACACAATTTGTAATACTCAAATTGTTTTCTACAGTACAAAGTCCGTAATCCGGACTAGTCGAGACTTTGGCGATTCCGGATTAGGGGTTTTTCCGGATTATAGATCATCAATTTAAATCTGGTAAGATGGCATGCAGAAATTATATAATTAAAAATATGAAACTGTAATTTATGAAATAAAGAGCAATTATGATCTAAAGGGTATCAAAATTTATAAAAAAAAAAGCTTAATATTTATTTGCTTACTTTATTAAACATTTCTTTCAATGTAAGTTGTTTAAGTTGCTTTGTTTTTTGTGCTAATACTTTCTCTTTAATTTCTTTAATTCTATAAACAGACATAATTTCTTGTTCAGTTACAAAGTTCCACTGCTCAAGTCCTACAATTGCTGTGTCGAGAATACCGACTAACTTGTCAATTGAAATTTTTTCGTTTTCAATAATCTCTCTGTTACTTTCTTCACTATTGGAAGTGCACATGGGTAAACGCTTTACTGGCTTTACACGCATTAAACGTGCATGCATAAGTTTGTGGCTTTGAGGTCAGGTCCGGATAATGGACGTCCAGATTACGGACTTTGTACTCCTTGGACTTTGTCCACATTGTACTGCATTAAACTCAGTTGCTTAATAAACTGACATATGTTTGGAACAGAAGTCATTTTAATAAGTGGCGGCTGCTGTAATTACTGTATTATTAGAATTACAGAACATATTTATCAATGTCTGCATGTTTTCCTGTTCCGTTTAAAGTTTTATTATATTATAATCTTGCAATTTTTGTCTTTACTTTATCTGTCACTATTTCTTGGAACCCATATAAAAAATCTGGTGACAGTCCCTCCCGCCCAATGGAAATTTTAATCAACCTTTCAGTAACACAGCAGCTGAAGAAAGTCAGGTAACCATTTTCAATTACCACTGCCATTCGTTCTTTCTGTTGCTATCTGTTAGCAGGTTTAAGGCTGTACCCTATTTTAAGTTAAACTTTCAATTCATCCTGGTATTTATACTAGGCTTACAAATGTTGCATTGTGTTGTCTGTGCAAGAAAAAATGTTAAACAAGAAGAAATGAAAATATACACCACAAATGGAAATGAAATTAGATGCTGTAAGACATTAGTCTCGAATTCAAAGTGCTTGGGGGATGAATATTCGATCTGAAAACGGTTGACGGGCCAGAACACTCTTTAACAAAATTTTTAATTATTTTTTACACAACAAAACAAAAATAAATTAAAATAAAATTTATATTTATTTCCTATTGAAGTATAAAGGTTGGTGCCTGCAAGAAATTTATAGTTTAATTCAAATATACTGACAGACAAATATTAAATTTTAGACATTTATTTCAAATAATTTCAATATGTTGAATTAACTACTAAATTACGTACTTTAATTTAAACCAAAAATAAACAAATTATGAAAATATTCAAAGCTTTCAGGGAAAATTTATCAAATGGGACAAAATTTGAGAATAAATAATAACAATTTAGTGATGCCAGCTTTTGGCTGTCAAACGAAGTTTACTGACTATACCAACATGGGAAGTTCTTCCACATGCCTTAACATCAAAGCCTACAATGACACTAAAGCAAGCTCCGACCTATTCATTTGATCTTTCTTTCCTTCGATTGCAGTCATCCTCATAACATCAGTCTAATCTTTATGTCTGTAAAACTGTAAGTATTGTATTTGCAACAAATACATAACTGAAATTTGTTCAAGGATTGTTCAAAATAGCTTCAGCGGCGATTTGTTTGAGACCACTACCTTGAGAGACTGGAGAAAGACAAAAGTATTAATAAAACTGCCATGGATTTAGATGATAAATGAAATTTTACAAATCCCTTCTTCCATAAAACTCGAAACCGTTTCTGTCCACATTAAATTAAATTTGCGGAACAATCTTCTAATTATACTTAAAATATAATTACAGCTTTAATCTTGTTAAAAACGTGATCTATGCATATTAAAAATGTATGTTAGAGGAAAAAACTATATATCTATACTTAATAACATTTACTCAATATTGCATTAAAGATAACACAAAATTACTCAAAATTTCAGGATAATAAAATTTCCATTTTATAACGAAAGTACCCCTTTTCATATATTATACCAATGCAAGCAAATTTTAATATAAAAACATGAATACCTGATCCAGAGTCACTGGAGTCACCATTCTCGGAACCTGAAAAAACAAGCAGAAATTCAACAACATAACATCTAATAACTTATCTTTAAGTATTAAATAGATGGTTCTCAACCTGTTTTGCTCCATGCAACCCTTTCCCCATTGCTAGATCATTCCCCTAATCTTTCGCAAAGCTCAAAACCTTTTTTACCCCCTAAAACCAAGAAAAACAATCAGTTATAACTTGCCATATAACTTTATATGGATATGTGGTTTAACAAAATCACATAAACATATATCTGAACAGTTTTCCCAACCCTTTTTCTCCCACCATGAGCTTTTTAAAAAATGGTTTTCTTCATTCACTCCATAATTTTTTACATGGAAAAAAAAAAAAAAAAAAAAAAATAGTTCAATAGATTTATGTTTTATATTCTTTATATTATTTTAAATTTTAAAAACATAATTAAGTTTAAGGAACAAAATCAGATTCTAATAGCATAAAAGTTTGATTTTAATGAGCATAATATTTGCACTTGATGTATCGATGCAGTATTTTAATATTTGGCATAAAATTGCTTAACTCTTTGCTTCTAAAAGAAGCTAACTTTAGTTAAGATCCCCCCTTTCCCATTAAGATTAGATAAAAGCTTCACTTAGTTTTCCCCTCCCCAGTTTTGATAACAGTGACTTTTTTTGAGGGGGAGGGGGTTTCTTGTGTTCCTGAATTTTACTTTTTTATACTGCACTTACTGCATGAAAAATTTACATACATTTAAAAGAAAATTACTATTGATTTCAAAAATCTATTGCATAATTTACATGCATTTCCCCCTTATATTTACTTTATATTATTTCTTCTTTACTACATGATATAGCTTTATATCAATACACAATCAATTATCTATTTGATAATTAAATATTTTGTAACCAATGGGATATTGATTATGCAAATCAAATGTAGTGCCTATTTGGCTATTGAACCCTTGATCATTAGTGACCTTATAAGTTTCATTCCTTATAAGTTTCAGTGCCCCCAATACTGAGCACATTTGGAAATCTTGTATTAAAAGTTAATCTCAAAATTATGCCCTCAGATTTGTTCACTCATAATTTTCATAGCACTTTTACTACATTTTAAATCTATGACAGCAGATCCCATACATATAAAAGAAGCTTCGATTGTAAGTTTACAATAACCTTTCTTTGTTTACTTATAGTTAATTCTTTTTTTAGGGGGAGGCAGCAGTTATGTACGTACTTTTGTGTACTTGCACTTTCGGATTTAGGTGGAATTTTAAAACTGAATTTCAGTTCATATCAATAACAAAAACTCTCATGAACTGACAAATCCTAATAGGAGTCACTGGGCAATGTACTACATTGCCAAAGCAGGCAACCCAAAATTTTACAAAAATTGATTTATCTCATGGTAATGGTTGTGTGCATACCACGCCAGGACATTTTGTGTTCGGTTGAAATTCGGAAATTCTCGCATCATCTTTATGGTTTCTGCCTGCTGTGGTTAGTGTGTAGAGTTTGCCTGCTAAAAAAAAAGCAAGTACTGCATTTTTTCCAGAAATATGACATTTTGCTTTGTAATTGAGAATGTAGGAAAAATGAGTAAATGTTTTTTTATGGATGTTTCTTGCATTTTTAATTTAGTTAATTTACTCTTTTATGTAATTTTCAGTGTTTCATTATGGATATTTCTTTATCAGCTGTTCTTAGATGATTACAATAACAGCTTTTTCCAAATAAGTGCAATTCTCTGTTGCCTCTTTAGTGCTAGTAGCTTTACCCACATTTTTGCAATGCTTTCATGTTTTTTAGAGATGATAGCTTCCTCCAAATTGGTGCAATTCTCTGATGATTTTAGTGCTAATAATTTTTTTCAAATCTGCACTTTCCCCCCCCTTCTTTTCTTTAAAGTTATACCAGCTAAATGTGTATATGAGCCAAGTACACAGAGCGGTGCGAAGCTGCTCTGCTATGCCAAGAATTAGCAATTCTCTAATTTTTTTTTTTTTAAATGTTAAGCATTTTATTATGAATATTTGTTGCATTTTTAAATTAGTTAATTTGCTGCTATTCGGAATTATTTTCAGCATTTCATCATTGAAATTTGTTTTATGCAATTTTCAATGATCTTAGATGTTGGTTTTATGTAATTTTCAGTGAGCTGCCATTTTTAAATGAGTAGTGTTTTAAATGTCTTAAGTTGGTGAAAAATTAGTCACTAATGATTAGCAACTTTGTTGGAGAGTGGGTGGTAACTCAGAAAATACCAAAATAAGAAACAAAATTGAATTTAAAAAAAATATGTATTGATTTTAGACCACTGTTAAGCTGCTATCGCGCGTCTGTTTGTTTCAGAAGAACAACTGTTTGGAACAATGCTTCTGCTTTGTCACAACAGCCAATCCTCACAGATTGCTTTGGGGTTAACACGGGAGAAACTGGTTCTCCATTATAAACAAGCTGATAGCATTCGAAGTTCATAGCTAATTGGTTGAAAATGAACAACTTGCAATTTTTTTTTTTTTTTTTTTTTTTTTTTTTTTTAAGGAAGGAAGGAAAAAATTATGCGTCTTTCTTTCAGTAGTAAACCAGACAGAAAAAATTTTCGAAACAGTTGTTCGTGTGAAACAAATGTGTGTGTGATATGGAACATTTTTTGCTATTTCATATAGTAACCTATTTTATAATTTTGAATAGATAAATTCAAAATGGGAGAAAATTTGTCCTAATCCTTCTGAACTTACATCTCACCTACATGACAAAGTTCATGCACAATTCACAAATGATGAATTCCTTTTTATCATTAAGATTTAATGCATTCCAAGTGGCATCAAAAGGAAAGTTAGATTTTGGAAATGGTGTATTCTGAGCAAGGTCGGCAAGTTTCTTCAATGCCAGAGAGAGCTGGCCAGAAAATAAAATTACTTAAAATAGTATTATTTTATTCATATATAATATGACTATATATCTAATCAATTTCATTACACAGAATTTTTGGGGGAACTATTTAACTTTTTTCCATTTTGTAGTAAAATTATTAAAATATTTCTTTTCAAAAAGTTAAATAGTTAGTAATAAATTTATCCCTTTTAGCAATACCACGGATACATCTACATTAATTTCCTTTGGTTTTTTCCAGTTTCTTGTATTGTCCTTGAAGAAACCTAACCGTGATTCTACAGGTGAAAGTTGACGTTTTTCATGACTTTTTTAAAAAAAAAGACTGCTAAATTATGAATATTTATCGTAAGTTAACAAACATTCAATATACGAAAAGTTAACGTACTTTAGCAATTCAAAATAAAAATTTTAATTGTTAATTATGATTATGAGATACATTAAAAATTAAAACACTTAAATATTTCACCAAATGTTTCTGTAATTTTTTGCACTATTCTTTTCCTCAAGAATACATCAATGACCCTGAAGGATGGATAGCCCCACCGGAGCTAAAAAGGAGATTGACGTTCCAAAACCCGCAGCCCTCCCGCTAGAGTCCCAGATGCCTAGACAAGGGGCAGAAGAGGAAAGGAATGACTGGAACAGGACAGAGCATCAAACGGAGAGAAGAAGGCTGGAGATGATGAAGTACCCGACGTTCGAACAGTTCTGCCACATCAGAATGCAGGAATACAGAAAACATAAGTGAAAATTTCCTTGCTTATTTTACTTTAAAAACACATTTTAATTTATATCACCTTGTTCTAAGTTGCTAAAGATGTTTAGAAAAGTTAAATTGCAGATAGCAAGAACTTGATTGTAAATATTCGTATGTTAGCAATTTTGTGAGAAGCTATGAGTGTTAAATACTTTTGTTAAGAACTCGCAAGTTGCGAGAATTAAAATGTGAATAAGTTTAGTTGGAAGACTCTTAGCTTACTGAAGTCTGTTAACGTAAAGTTAAGATTTCGTGTAAAGACGCCAAATTGTAATTAAGTAAGTATGACTGTTGATGTAAAGTGAATTCAAAAGTGATGTGTAAATATTTAAATGTTCATGTTAAAGTAGAAATGTTTAATCTCTGTGTTGAAATATCATAAAGTTAAACTTGTACAAAAGATAAATTTTGGCCTCTGTGTATTTGATTTGTGAAAAAATTGAATTTTTAGAATATGTGTGTGTTTAATGTTAGGTTCTCCAGTTAACACTTTTAAAAGTAAATATAAGCTTTTGCTTACTACATTAGCAAAGTGTTTGCGTGTAGGGAGTCTTGTAGGGTCTAGAGTGTCTATTTTAACCAAGTTAGATGTTGTGTAGCGTTAGTTTTTTTCGCGGTAACACAACATAAAATACCTTAAGTACATTTCAGTACTTTTGCTGGAGAGCATGGGGGACATACTTTAGTTATGAATGAAGGTATATAAGGGCCAAATGAGGAAAAAAAAGCATAACTTTAAGATTTATATAAAAGCTTTATAAAATTCCTTACTAATGATATTTCCTTCCAGATCAAGACCTGACTTAATAGTAGCTGAGTAGAGTTTCCATTCAAAGAAGATAATGTATAGCCAGAACAGAAGAATTTTTTTGTAAAATTTTATAAAGTTTTTTCCTAGCTTTAGAAATGTTGTAAAGTTGGCCCTAAAAACAGAACTTTACAGTGAAATTAGTTAATTCAAAAGTTAGAAGTGTGTAGTTAACGTAAGAAATTTTTCAGACTTTAAAGCCTTAAACAAGGTCGTTTTGAGACCGTATTTTTCGAGTATTTAAAGTCTGGTCGGAAGCTATGTATGGATTATGTTAATTTTATTAACAGTTAAATTTTAAGTTAAAGTTCCTTTCCTGTCAAATTCTTAACTTCAATTTACTACTTCCGGCCAGAACGTAGTTTTGGAATCACTCTGAATACTTAATGAGGAGGAGCAGTATTTAAACCACGAAGTCTACTTGCTGAGTTTTTTGATAGCTTCGGCTATATCTCTTTAGTTAATCTTAGTTTTAGTTCATTTCTTAGTCTCTTAAGTTCAAGCCCAAGTGTCGACTTTTACTGTACACTCCAAGACGGAGTTTTGTTAAATCTTATTCGAATAATATAGGGTTAGTTACCCTTCCATCTTGTTGTTTCTTGTTACACGAACTTAAGCGATTATTCGCTAACTAGTTTTTAAGATTCATCACTTTCTACAGTAACTGAGAAATACACTAGTGAGAATCTTGCATTTGGCGCCCAAAAAGTTTTTCAACGGACCATGTCGTTAGAATCCGGGAAGTTTACGTTGACCCCTCCGACCTTTCAGGTCCCTCAGACATCCACGAATTCTATCGAAGGGTTTAGATTTATTTTGGAAGCGATGCAGGCCTCCATGAAGCCAACAGTAACATTTGACGGCAAGGGCTCAGTTCTGACATTCTTAAAGCAACTGGACCTACATTTCAACCTTGCATCCGGTGAACCAGCTGCAAAAGGTGACCATCGCTACCACAGCCTTAAAAGGTCAAGCCCTCAGCTGGTACAAGGGCATTGGAAAGTTCTCGGTGGGGAATTGTACAACTGGGAAAATTAATAAATACAGGGAAAATTAATAATAATAAAATAATACAGAATTATTCCATTTCTTCAGTGTCCTTCTTAACAGCCCTTGGATGAATCATGATTTTAGTTAACTAGGAACATCACCATCAATCTGGAAGCTGAATAAATTGTTTTTCATTGTGTCTTATTAACTCCCTAAATAATCTAAAGCAATATTTTTTAAACCATGGCCTATGGATCATAAATGGTCTTCAAAACTTGCCCCCCAAAAAAAGATTCACAAAAAAATTTTCATAAACTGCATATGCTTCATTGTAGCTGAAAATCTTAGATTTCCATAAGATTCAAACTAAATTTCAAATTAAGTGCATAAACACATTATAGCAGAATACCTTAGATTTCTGAAAAAGGTTCAAAGTAAAATTTAAATTAAAACTGCACATACCACATTACAGGTGAAAATCTTACATCTCCAAAAAAGATTCAAAATAAAATTCAGATTAACTGCATATATCACATTATAGCTGAATGTTAGATTTCCAAAAAAAGATTCTTAATGAAATTCAAATGAACTACATATACCACATTATAGCTGAAAATCTTAGAATTAGGAAATTACACATAACATCTACAGATTTTCCTTCCAAGATCAACATTTTACAAAATTTATTACCTACTAGCAGCTTCGCTGCCAACCTTCATTTGGATTTTAAATGTACCGGAAAAATGGCTGAAGGGAACACCAAATGTTAAATTTAAAAACTGCATAGAATTTTACTCTGCATAACAACTTCATAAAAAAAGTTATTACATATAACAAAATTACAATGAAATAAGCAATATCCCTTAATACAAATATTAATTAGACTAATAAATAAATTATCTTGCAAAATCTTAAGCTCTCAAATGGTATAAAGGAGGTTAAGAACTTCGTTTCCTAAAAAAATCACTCAAAACTTTTCAATATCTTAAAAACAGTGAAATGAGCAATAAATAACATAAAAGAACACAAAAACCAAAAAATTCTGAAAAGCAAAGTATAATTAATGTTATTTTATCTTATGTTTTCAAGGGAAAAAATTACAATGAAATAAGCTATATCTCTTAATACAAATATGAATTATCCTAATTAAAAAATTAACCAACTTTCCGTAGAAGAACAAAAATCATGCAAAACTTTTCAATATCTTATAAACAGTGAAATAAGCAAAAAATAACATGAAAGCAACTCAAAAAACATAAAATTCCACGCAGAATTTTACTTCACAGAACAACTTTATCAAAAAAAAAAAAAAATCAATAAAAATATATTTATATAAAAATGACAATGAAATATGCCAATCTCTTAAAAACAGTGACATAAGAAATATGATGAAAAATTGTTGCCAAACCCATACTTCTAAAAGAATGAAACTATTCAAAATGATGCGATTTCATCAAAAATCTATCAACAACAATAAGACAGGAAAATTGTTGCCAAAATCACATTTTTAAAGATGTGAGATGTGAGAAGTGTACTCGGAAGCTTCATTTAAAAAATCTTTTAAAAATACAAAATATTATCATTTTTCCAAAATTCTTTTTGTAAAAGCATTCGCAAGGATGAAAGTTTAACGTGTCCAAAAATCAAAGAAAAATAAACTTTTTTAGAAAAAATCCCATTGAAAAAGTGTTAAGCTCCCTTTGTTCAATAAATTCGTATTTAATCGATTTATTAAAACACGAAATTTATTTTAAGTTCGTAAAATAGCTAAGTGCCTACGTTTCAAGACGATGTGAAAATGGAGTGTGTAGAGTAAAATCTCGCTTTCCTATTATAGCCCATTATGTCTCAAAATGACGCGATTTCGTCACAAAACACAAAATAAAAAAAATTCGAATTTGAATTTCGAAAAAAATCGCTTCGAGGTGTACTGGCTCTTGTCTAGATGCACCTATGTACCAAATTTCGCAGTTGTGGGTCGAAACTGTGTAGCTTACGCGCAGCGCAAATGAAAGACACACACAGAGACTCTTTCTTTTATTATATGTAGAGATTACTCTACCTAGAGACTTTCAACTTCAATCTTAGCAAATGAGGGATTTAAAGCACTATCACAATTGTGCTTCTTACCATCATTTTGCTGTATATCTGGCACTGCTAGGCTTAAACGAATTTTAACTAATTGTATTTTATAAATATAAATACTAGTTGTAAAAAATGCTAAAAAAATTACTTTTGAAATGGATAGAATAAGGTGGTCCATAAAATATTCTAATTTATGAATTTTTAAGTGATCCCCTCTTGAAAAACGTTTGAGAAATGCTGATCTATATCATCAATGAAAAACAAAAATTAACCATTTTCTTATGCTTATATACAGTACATAAGTAATCAGGCATACACAGACAATTGTTTAAAGCATACCAAATTAAAAGAAGCTGTTAAAATTCAGTTACACTTACCAAAAACTGCTAATGTTTGATGAGCAATGTTTGATATCACAAAACGATGTTCTTTTGGAATGTCGGTTTTCACTTGGCCATCGGAAGTCTTCAGCATGTCATCGGATAAGGAAAATTTAATATCCGCTTTGCCTCCAGTTCTGTCCAATTAATATATTTAGAGATTTAAACATATTTCATAAATAAACTGATGTTTAAAAAAGACAATTATTTACTAAAAAATTATACAAAAGATACATGTTTAAAATCTGGACAAGTAGCAATTTTTTTAAGCACCAGAGGTGCCATTAGTCTCAAACTTTCTTTTGTGTCTGTATGGATTTTTAAATGTTATCATCATGTGCTATAATATAACTAACATATAAAAATATGTGGCAACACAAATAAAACGATTTGTGACTATTTTATCAAATAAAAGGATGTTATCTCTATGTATTATTTTCTAAGAATATAGCAAACACACACACACAAAAAAAAGTTATAAAAGAATCTGAAGTTTTTTAGATTACGGCCAAAGGTCAAAGGGGCTTTTTTTTTTTTTTTAAATATCTACATACACATACACGTTTCAAGAGCATTAGCACTAAAAATATTTAAATACACAATAAAATATTTAAAAACAGCATATGTTCAGAATTTCCGATAGACAGTCTTGCACGCTGGAGATAAAAATGCTTTTTTTTTCATTGTACAGTGTTGACATTGCTCACTTTGAAATCATCGAGTTTGTTAATCAAAAATTCGTTTAAGTTTTACAAAATATTAAATACACAATAAAATGAATTTGGACTTCAAAATGTCCATACTGGGGGAAGGGAGGGAAGACTACATTATTCAAAATTTGATGGCTCTAGGTATCATTTATTTTTCATAAAATGTGAAAAACATGCACACATTCAGGTAAATTCTTCAAACTTGAAAAATAGATAATATTTATTTTAATTTACATTACTTTTTAACATCTTTTATAATTAAGCAACAAAAAGTATAGAAAATATTGATATATAACAAAACTTGAAATAAAGTTGTTCTCTGTATTCATAAACTAAAACTAAATACTTGAAATCTAAACAAAAAGCTGACCACATTCCCACTCCCTGAAAATTATAAAATTTCCTGCCAGGAAAATTCAACTCCCCCTCTCGGTTGTGAACTCTTGTTCAAAATTTTCATCATTTTGTTGCACTTAAGGTCAGATCCAGAATGTTCAGCACTTTGGCAATTCCAGATTTTAGATCATCAGTTAAAATCTAGCAAGACGACAAGTAGACATGGGAGCATTAGAGCTTCCTCTACTGTTTAAGGTCAGACAGAAAAATACTAACCACCGCAACCCACTAAAGGGCTGAAAATGTGATTCTGGGAAACTTTCAACACAATGTTAATCAGCATATTCTCATTTTCCACAGAGTCATTTCCTTAGCCAGCAGATGTTTGAATGTGACACACAGGAATGTCAGTTAGTCAGGAGAAAATTCACATTTACATCACACTTATTTCCCTTCGTACAGGATACAGGCATTTTAACCAATATTCTCCATTCGCAGTTTTATTATATTTTATTTTCCGGCTGATGGTCCTGATATTGGACATCCGGATTTTGTACTGCAGTTATTTATTTATAAGTTATGCCATCCTTTATTTTAGCAGGGAACAAAAACAGAATTACAAAGTTTAAATAATAATATCAAGTTTGAACCACCTAGGCAGAATGCGACAAATTTTCACATCTTGCCTATCTCTCACAATCATGCACATAACCATTCTTCATGCATCCACATTCATAACAATCTTTCAGTCAAGGAATGCTGCCATTATCATATGAATTATTTTTGTAGCATTCCAAGTTCCAACAGTTTTTAGAGAAAAATCGTGATATTTTTTGCCTTAAACTTAATTTTAAAATGTATGCCTGTTGAATTTATTGACAATAGAAGAATCAGCATATTCTCATTTTCCACAGAGTTAAAGATTATTAAAAGAAAGTTAAGAAATTAAGAAAGATTAAGTTAAGAAAGTGCAGCACAATTTTTGCAGTAATACAATATTTTGTCACAAAATCGCTACAGGAAAAACGAGGAGATGCATTTAGTAAACAGTCCATGCATGATGCCAATTTTATGCAATTCGCCGATTTTTTTAAGCCATAGAAGATCAATATGCACATGGGCAGAAGAACATTGTAAAAAAATTAGAATACTTTGGCAAAAAAATGTAAATGCTTTTATTTTTGAGTCATATAATCCTTTATTAATAATTAAAATTATTTTAAATTGCTGAAGTGTTTTTCTAATGCGGATAATGCTAGCCAAGTTACAATAAATGCAAAGTTGCAATAAATATTAATAGCCTGAGAATCTTTTTCAAAAGAAGTCACGAATATTTTCAAGTAACTTCATTTTTATCTGTAAAGTTTACAAATTGCACCAGGGTGGTTGCATTAATATGTAAGGATCCAATGGTTTTAATGTACAAAAACATCATTTATAAATAAAAGCATGGGCCAGTTTCAATTACAGAGTCCTCTAATTGCCATTCTTTCTCTTTAAAAATATCATTTATAAATATGAGCAGGTTTCCATTACAGAATTTTGTAACAGGCATTCTTTCCCTTTAGCAGGTTCAGGAAATCTACTTTAGAAGAAAATAATCCAAATAAAACAAAATTCTGTCAAACCAAAAATTTGTGCATATAATGGTTTCTTAATTTTGTCTTTCTCAAAACTTTCAAAGTATTTCTGGCATTTCTCAAAAACTATCAATCTTCTAGGATAATAAAATTACAGGTATATTCACTGTCAAGAAAAAATACATTTTAGACAATTCTTCATATCATAATCAATATCTAATAGTAGATGCTTTAATAACATTAGTACTAAAAGTATTATATAATTATAAGTAATATTAAACAAAGTAAAAGATTCACCTAGTTATTTTCAAACGCCCAGCTTCACTTAACGGTGGAGCTTTTTCCCACAAGGAAGAAATATACTTTGGAACCTAAAATGCAACAAAAATTTTAAATTATTTAAATACACAATACTAAAAGCATACTTTACTTTCTCAGCTCAAATGCATTTACTATTTTAACATTAAAAAATAGAATGTAAAAATAATAACTGTATTAACTGGGAAACTTTTTTATTTATTTATTTTTTTAAAGCTGTAGAATTATGGGAAAATTACTGTCACAAACCATGAATGGGGAATTAAAAAAAAAAAAAAAAAGATATAAAGAAAAAAAGGCAACTTTGGTCATTTTGCTTATAAATGTCCACACATTTTTTCTTTTCTTTTCTTTTTTTTTTTTAAACTTATAAACAATCACAATGGGACTAAGGAGTTCATTAGCTGATGAGAAGGTGTTTTACCAGACAGTACAGAAAGCAAAAATTAACATTCTATAAAGCTGTCATTCTTAAACAAATTCTGTGAAAATGCAGTATCAAAATGGGTAAGCAAAATGTAAGGCCAGACGTACAGAAGTTTCCCATGACGTACAGTTAATGTATAATAATTTATTAATTTTTATTTAAGAATTAAAATCTCTATTTTAAATTGTCAAAATGCTACTTCTTTTGATAGGTTGATAATATTTGCTTACTTATGGTAAATATGCATAGTTTGGCAATCATTTAAAAACAAAGTGATGAAAATTGCCAATTTGTATCCAATAAGCATTAATTATTAATAAACAGAATCTTTCAAAATCAGTGGCGTAGTGAGCATAACTGGCGCCCGAGGCAAAATACCTTTTGGCGCCCCCCCAAAAAACACAGTAATATATTGTATAAAATATATTCATAATAAGAAGGTAATGCAAATAATAATAAAAAGCTGAATCTGCCATAAAACACATTCACTACCTAACTAGCATTGGATTTGGAAATATATCTGTGTCAGCGGGAAAAATCAGATATACAATGATCTAGAATTAGTTAAAAAAGTATTATTTATTTTACATATTTATATAATAGTTTTTAAAAAAGTACAATTTTTAAACAATTAAAAGTTTAATATTATATTATAGATAAGTAGGTATATTTATTATTAATAATTATAATACATTAATACAATTAATTACTATGTATACATTTTTCTTGCCATGGATGAAGCAAATTTATCAATGATTTCATGAAAGTCGATCATTTCAAATTTTTCTCATACCACATTTAAAAATGTTAGATGACTTAAGGGATCTTGATCCCATTGATTGTAAATATGTGAAAATTTATTTTAATTTGCTGACCGAATGTTTATAGCTAAGCATTTGATAATGAAATAGTAAGGAGTACTTGAAGTACTACTCTTAGGTTTGGAAAAACATTTTCTCCATAGATCTGTAATGGAGTCTTTAGTTTCTTTTCCACTGCGGAGTAATATCTTGCAGTCACATTCAGTGCTCAAAACATTTAGGGGATATTGTGAGTTCGGTATGAAATAACCAGATAATCGACAACCTTTTTAACAAAAGGAAATATAAGATTATAAAGGAAAATTATAACATTTACAGATTTGGGAATATGCAAATTTTGTCTGTGACATCAAAAGTAACGAGGTAAAGTAAGGAGTAACGAGTAACTTGCAGCATTCCTTTTGTAGCAGATTTAAAACAACTGACACGCGTTGAATGCTTTGTAGCAGTGAATTATACGATGTCTCAGCAAGATGACTTAGTTGAATTGGTAGCCAGGAAGGACATCAGTCGTTTACAGGAGATTCAAATGCAATCCATTGTAACGGAAGTGTTAGGAGCTTCCCAAAATGTCATTTTCAGACTATGGAATAATTTTTTGGAAACTGGATATGTTAGAGAAATTCAGGACAGAATTGTGTTATTGTTTTAAAATAAAAAGCGGAAGCTATATGTGCATTTTGTCTTTAAAAAATTTAAATATATCTCTATTTTAGAACAATAAAGTGGTCAGAAAGAACGTTTTGTATGCGAAGATATTTGGTTGATGTACTTCAAACATTTTATTACACATTTTTAAAACAAATCAAAAAATAAATAATTAACCATATTACAATGATTATTAATTATGGTACTATTCGGTTTCGAGGGCCGTAAAAAAATTGCAGCGAAAATGTATGCGCAAAAGCGCCAAATCTAGCAAATGTGCCCATTTAACAGTGCGCCAAATCTAGCGTACACGTTCATTTCAGATTGCGTAAGTTTATATAGTTCTATATTTCTTAAGACGCCATTGAAATACTAGTTTAATTTTTAAATCCTTTTTTGATTTAAATTTTTTCTATGGATTTAACAATTGGGGAATTGCCCATGACGAAAAGTCGGCAATAGAATTTTGGATAAAGTGCAGAATCATCATTGCTTGATGCATTTTTAAGAACTGCAAATACAGTCAAAAGTCGTTAATCCGGACTCCTCGGGACTTCGGCGATTCCGGATTATAGATCATCAGTTTAAATCTGGTAAGATGGCATGCAGAAATTACAAAATTAAAAATATGAAACCGTAATTTATGAAATAAAGAACAATTATGATCTAAAGGGTATCAAAATTTACAAAAAGAAAAAGCTTAATATTTATTTGTTTACTTTATTAAACATTTCCTTCAATGTAAGTTGCTTCGTTTCATGTGATAATACTTTCTCTTTAATTCTATTAAACAGACATAATTTCTTGTTTAGTTACAAAGTTCCGCCGTTCAAGTCCTATAATTGCTGTGTTGAGAATATACCGACTAATTTGTCAATCGAAATGTTTTCGTTTTCAATAACCTCTGGGTCACTTTCTTCACTATCGGAAGCGAATTATAATGACGAGGAACTTGATTTAATTTAAATCATATCAAAGACGGAGTACATCATCGAGATAAAATACTACACTTAGTACGGAATTATAAACCAAATAAAATAAAAACATCTGCCCTGAAGATAAGGATAGTGCTGACAGATCAACTTCCAATCCGCCCCGTGAAATTGATTAACAGATTTCAGGTTTCAAAACATACTTTCGCTTTGTAGATACAAATTACAAATTAGTAAATATATATCGCAAATTTTATTTGACATAATCTTTTTCTAATCTATCATAATCTAATAATGACGTTTCTGCCCCCCCCCCCCTCTGCCGCAGAGCAGCGTGAAATTGATAAACAGATTTCGGATTTCAAAACATACTTTCGCTTTGTAGTAAATATATATCGGAAATTCTATTTGACATAATCGAAAGTTCAAGCTTACTTTTATAAAATTGCTCTAACAGTCTGCAAAAAATAATAAGCTGGATCCAATTCGAAGATTAAGGAACAACGCAATCTGCAACATTAACTGAATTAGATAACTTTAGCTTAGCGTATAACTCCGTTACACATTAAACGCGCACGCGCACAAACATATTCGCAGCCGTAAGGGTCTTACGCGCTCTCGTAAACGCCTGTGCGCATGCGTGAACGCGACGCATGCGCAGAAAGTTTGTAGCTTTGAGGTCCGGATTATAGATCATTCTGGATTATGGGTGTCCGAATTAACGACTTTTGACTGTACTCGGTATCCATGTGCACATCCACCTATTTTCACTTAAAAAAAAATCCTAGAATTGCACAAAAATGGCACAGCGCACACCCTTGACTTTATCCATGTACACATCGGAGCCTATTTTCACTTAAAAAGTCAAAGAAAATTGATCAAAAAAACAATTCTTTTTACCCTTGTAAAAAGCGGCCAAACAAATAAGTGTGGCGATTCTTGCACTTTACCGAGAATAATTTCAAAGAAAAGGCATCATTCATATAGAGAATTATGTTTGAACAACCAACGAGATGAAATTATGCTTTAGCGATAAGTCGGTAGCGAAATAGCGATGCAGGCATCCATTCAGTTATGTTAGCAATTTTTTATATAATTATAATATGATCTGAAATAGTTATTTACTACTCTTATGTTCCATTCAGTCATGTTTAGCCTTTTTCATACAAATTATAATAATAAAAATGTATTATATGAAATTAACCTTTCATCTAAATTAAAACATCTATCTTAGATAGTTATATACTATTATACTTCCTTTCTTGCCGCAATTATTTTTGGCAGCATTCGCATCAACAATAGTTTGGCAATTTTTTACGGCCCTCGAAACCGGATAGTACCTTAATTTTAAATATATTTTCCAGAAATCGATCAAAATAAAAACTGAAATTTTCAGGATAATCTTGTTTGGAGACCATTTGGCGGGGCATCATACAGCCCCCTTCTCCCTACGCCACTGTTCAACACGTTTATATATGTTAGTTTAAATAAGTGGCTCAAAAATATATTAATTGTATATATTAAATAAGTTCTGTTAAATTATTGACAAAATTGCAAAAAATACTATCATAAATTCATTCTATGTGTATGCTGTAGTGCGAAGATATTGAATGAATTACCATTTACCGTAGTCAATTTCTTTTTTGTGCGTGCTTATAGTATTTCACAATAAACAGCACTTCTTTAAGCTCGTACAGTCAAAAGTCGTTAATCCGGACTCGTCGGGACTTCGGCGATTCCGGATTATCGATTTTTCCGGATTATAGATCATCAGTTTAAATCTCGTAAGATGGCATGCAGAAATTCTAAAATTAAAAATATGAAACCGTAATTTATGAAATAAAGAACAATTATGATCTAAAGGGTATCAAAATTTGCAAAAAGAAAAAGCTTAATATTTATTTGTTTACTTTATTAAACATTCATTTCTTTCAATGTAAGTTGTTTTAAGTTTTTGCTTCGTTTCATGTGATAATACTTTCTCTTTAATTCTATAAACAGACATAATTTCTTGTTCAGTTACAAAGTTACGCTGTTCAAGTCCTATAATTGCTGTGTCTAGAACACCAATTAATTTGTCAATCGAAATTTTTTCGTTTTCAATAACCTCTGTCACTTTCTTCGCTATCGAAAGCGAATTATAATGACGAGGAACTTGTTTTAAATCATATCAAAGACGGAGCATATCGAGATGAAATACTACATTTGGTAAGGAATTATAAGCCAAATAAAATAAAAACATCTGCGCTGAACATAAGGATAGTGTTGACAGATCAACTTCCAATTCATTACGCGCCCGCCGCGGCGATCCCCCCACCGAGCAGCGTGAAATTGATAAACAGATTTCGGATTTCAAAACATACTTTCGCTTTAGATCCTTTACATATTAACAAATATATATCGGAAATTCTATTTGATATAATCGAAAGTTTAAGCTTACCTTTATAAAATTGCTCTTACAGTCTGCAAAAAATAAGTCGGATCCAATTCGAAAATTAAGGAACCACGCAATCATCAACATTAACTGAAATAGATAATTAGATAATTTTACCTTATACGTTCATTATACATAAAACGCGCACGCGAAAACGTATTCTGCACTTGCGCACACTCATATGCGCAGTCGTAAAAGGTCTTACGCGCTCGCGTAAACGCCTATGCGCATGTGTCAACGCGGCGCATGCGCAGAAAGTTTTTAGTTTTGAGGTCCCGATTATAGATTATTCCGAATTATGGGTGTCCGAATTAACGACTTTTGACTGTATTGCACTAACACAGTTTTCTTTCACCAAAGCAGTGACACAGATAAGTATCAAAAACTGATATCGCAAGCAGAGGAACAGAAGTAGTCTATCTTAAAAACAGAAATACAAAATATTCAGTTAGTAATTTCTCTATACAAATTTCATGTCCTGTAATTGTAGAAATTATCATTTGACATATCAAAAATATTTATTGCAAGCCTTGTGTGCAAATGATTCAGTGATAAAGTGGATAGTTAATTTGTATTCTTTACAGTTAGAGTAGATTGAAGGGTGCCCCTTGGATTATTGCCAAGTTGTTGTTTCATTTATGGTAACTTAAGTGGTTGAAGGCTATAGAAACCCTATTATGATGTAATTGGTTGAGTGAATGAGTTGAATTTGAATGATGAGATGGATTTTGGATAAGAAGCATGTTGTTATTTTGGGGTTTACATGGTAAAATAATTGAATGTTGCAAGATTAATTTCTGTACAATTTGGAATGAAATGGAGAAAAACATTGAATGGTGTGCTAATGAAGGTTTCCTTAACTGCCATTATAAGTGCCCTGTATGTAGAAAGAAAATGCATATGGTCAAACGTCAGAGGATATTTTTGACTTTTGTGAATTTATGTGGTGACACCAGTATACAGATTCTAGTTCAGATAATTTTAGTAAGTTTTTGGATGCTGTTAAGGAATTTTGTTTAACTGAAGACAGGGAAATTTCCAAATAAGGTAAGTGGATATTCCTTTTGTGTAGTGTTATGAATTTCCTTTTTAATGTTATTTCACTGTTTGATTTAAAATGCAGTTTATTTGAGATTATATACTTTTTTCTGGCTGTTCCTTTGACTTTTTAAATGAATATAGATCAATGTTTACATGGACAAAGTGAAAATAGCTCGATGTGCACATGGATACCCAATTTGTGCAATTCTTTAACTTGTTATTTTGGATTTGTGTAGAATCGCCACTACACAAAGCCAAAATAAGAAGTAAAAGAATTGCACAAACTTGATGTCCATGTACCGCCAAAAATTGCCAATGGGCACCCGTAAATATACGTTTACTATCTTTACTACTATGTACAAGGTTTATCCCACAAGTAATGAGTCAGAACATTTTTCAGTTAACCTTTTGATTATGGTAACTTGGCGATTTTTTGGCGAAAATTTGGCAACCAACCCTGCTACAGCAACCTGCTAGTTTTTGTTTGGACGCCATTTTGTTTTCACAAAGTAAAAGCATTTTTTTTTTTTTTTTTTTTTTTTTAAACTCAAAATTTTTTTTCCAACAATCTGCTAGCCGAATTACGGTTATGCTGGAACTTTTATGGAACAAAAGTGCTTAATCATGACGAAGATTAGGTGCGAAATTGGGGCAAAGTAGAGAATTGCCCACTGCTTCCAGCGTTTTTAAGAATTGCACGTACACGGTATTATCCATGTACACGTCGACCTATTTTCACTTAAAAAAAATCCCAGAATTGCACAAAAATGGCATTGTGCACACTCTTGACTTTATCCATGTACATTCCTAAAGTCCTAGCTAGTAACCTTTATCGCCTTACCAAAATGTCGCCAAACTACCTGTTAACATATTCCAAAGATCAGCCCATTTTTCAATATTTATTGATCAGACTGGTACAATCACTTAAAAATATTCATTGTATCAACAATTTTTTTCCCGAGAGATTTCAATGTGTTGTATGCCTCCTAAAAGTCTTCAATGGGGATGTTCTTCAAAAGCCTCATCAAAGCACTTTGGCGTTGTCAATGGCATCCAAATGACATTTTGGCTGATCTTTAGAATATGGTAACTGGTAGTTTGGCGACATTTTGGAGGCGATAAAGGTTACTATCTGCGACTTTGGTAATAATGTGAGTAGTACTCAGTTCCAATTACGCATTATTTTGTGTGAGGGAAATGAGAGATCATGGGATATGTCATGTGATATTAATGGACAAATTACGGTTCTTTAATCGGAAAAGGGGGGAAATTGGGAAAAAATCTGGAAATTTTGTATTTGGCTTTATTCTGTGTTGTGTGAAACAGTGTTCGTTAAATTTTGGATCCCATGGCCCTAACTAAAGTGAATTCGAAATGGGTATTTAGTGGGATTGAAAGGAGTAGTAATAAGTGTTTCTTTAAGGTTGTGCGAGATAGTAGTAAAGATGTTTTATTAAGTTATTTATTTTACCTGGTACCTTGCTGTGAACTATAAGTATGATTTTACAGATCCTGAAACAGGCGCACATATGCTTGCTTTTTATTTAGCGGATAAATAAGAAAAGTTTATCGGACACGTAATCAAGATTCTGAAGAAGATTAGGTAAGTTAGTATTTTTAATTATTTGAGGATATTATTTTTATGCATTGTTCTAAATGTAAGGTGGAAGTAAAGTAATTTGGTATTATTGGGAAAATTGTTATTAGCAATGATTTAGTTTAAAGTAATTAGGATTTAAGCTAATTTTTATTAATTTGTATGTGCTTATTTATATTTTAAGTAGTGTTTTTGAATTTAATTATATTTTAATTAAATGATAGTTATTTTGTGAATTTTATGTTTGTAGGAATTTGGTACACATTTTAGTTGAAGTAAACGTGCATGGAAATAATTTAAATATTTGACACTAAGTATTTGTAATGCAAGGTATGAATCCGTTGGTGACGTTTATAATATAATAGATGATTTAGAGGTAAAAGTTTTTGGATATTTTATTTATTTTATAGGTGGAAATGTTCATATTTGGAAAGGGTATATACTTTTTCGCGATCAGGTAATTTCATATATGTTCTTTTTACCGGGTTTAAAGATTCAGAAAATTGTCATGTATTTTCGTCAAATTTTTCTAATTTATGAGAAAAAAGGAGTGTACATGGATATGGAGTGTGCGCAATGCCATTTTTGTGCAATTCTGAGATTTTTTTTTTAAGTAAAAATAAGTCAACGTGTACATGGTTTAGTGTTATTTTAATTAAATGATAGTTATTTTGTGAATTTTATGTTTGTAGGAATTTGGTATACGTTTTAGTTGAAGTAAACGTGCATGGAAATAATTTAAATATTTGACACTAAGTATTTGTAATGCTTGCGGTATGAATTCATTGGTGATGTTTATAATATAATAGATGATTTAGAGGTAAAAGTTTTTGGATATTTTATTTATTTTATATGTGGAAATGTTCATATTTGGAAAGGGTATATACTTTTTCGCGATCAGGTAATTTCATATATGTTCTTTTTACCGGGTTTAAAGATTCAGAAAATTGTCATGAATTTTCGTCAAATTTTTCTAATTTATGAGAAAAAAGCAGTGTACATGGATATAGTGAAGAGTGTGTGCAATGCCATTTTTGTGTAATTCTGGGATGTTTTTTTAAGTAAAAATAAGTCGACGTGTACATGGTTTAAATGTATGTGTTATTTTGAAAAACGCGTAAGGAGTATGGTATTGTGCACTTTTTCCCAATTTTGCAGTGAATATTTGTCATGATTAAGCAGTTTTGTTAGATAAAATTTCTAGCATAAGTGTAATTCGGCTAGTAGATTGTTGGAAGAAGTGTTCAGTAGATAAAATGAAAAGAAACATGTCTTTACTTCGTGAAGACAAAATGGCAGCGGGTAAAAAAAATAGAGGGTTGCTGTAGGAGAGTTGGTCGCCAAATTTTTGCCAAAAAATCGCCAAGTTACCATAATCTAAAGATCAACCGACATTTTTTCATGGGTTTTTCTTACCTTCAGAAACAGAAAAAAGTCTGGTAGAATAAGCTGGGACTGTAATGGATAATCATGCCAGAAAACAATGTGACACTCTACTTCTGTGAAAAACCTTGTACCTATGATGCCTTTGTATAACTTCTTATGTCGTATATTCCCCAAGCTTTCCATTATCTCGTATGTTCCCCAAGCTTTCCATATTCTTGGGCTTTTACTGTATTTTTAAAATGATGAAGACAAAATTAATATTTAATGTACATAGTATCTGTGTGAATAAACTTTATAATGTATCGTATATTGAGCTAAAATTAATAAACTGATTAAACACTGCTTGAATATTCATAAAAAATATGCAAATATCTAAAACGGATTAAGATAATTCACATCAAATGAAATTAACATGAAAAATTTAAAAGATCATAAAATGTGACAGGAAGAACACTTTCCTTCATAAAAGCTAAAAAATTAAAAACTGGGATATCTAATGATCCATTGGGAGACCAGGAGATGTGTTGAAACAACAGTGGTCTTTGGGTAAAACCGAGACAGTTAGGGAGCTATGCAACATCGAAACATAAAATTTAGTTAGGTTTTTGTGGTGGTACTTTATGGGTTTTTAAAAAACAAACATGCTACTCATATAACACACACAAAGCGATTATTTTTAGTATCAAACTGAATTTCAAGATCATAAAGCATAACTACGATTCCAATAATCAAAAATATTACGAAAAATAATCCACACTTTACATTAATGAGCTATCTAACATTATCATTTCCAAAATAGCTCCTTCGGTCCATATTATCCCTTCTTTTAGCATACATCACAATTTATTTATTTCCTATTATGAAAATTTTTGTACATCATCTATAATTATAAATATTACTAATACTTAAATGATAATAATACATGTTTCTAATGAGGGTACTTTACTGCAACAGGTATAACATGCGAAAATTACATAAAGGTTTAAAGAGTAATTACGTTCATCTCGCTACAAGCGAAATCTTAGACTTATATAAATTTCATAACTGAGATTTTACCTTAACTAACCACACGCCTCTGGCAGCATTACTGCAATCTAAATCCTTTTCAGAATTATTAATTTTTTGTTTCTTATAAGACAATCCACTATCCGACGAATCCATGTTTCACAACAAACCACGTTGCCAGATATATTCAAGGCATGTCAGACTACCAAATTGCCGAAGTCTTGTATTGCTTATAATTGTACTAATCAATTTGTGAAAAGAAATGGAATAAGTTTTCATAAGTAAGCATCGGGAACAAATTTTCCATTCGTAATATTTTTGTAATATATGAAAATTGTTTGTGAAATTTAAATATTTAAATAATATATTAAAGTAGATTTGCAAGGGTAAAATTAAAACATTTCGAAAAAAAAAAAAAAAAAAAAATCTGTGCGCTAGTCACCTCGAAATCGAAATCGAGTCAATGGCTAGGCGGCAATTAGTAGCCAACCGCTACTTTAACCGTCTCTGTTGGTAAATTGCCCTAAGGCGTTGGTACTTAAGTTTTTAATTAAGGCGATTTACGCCGCGCCAACTAGGCGAAACTTGTCAAATTTTGGGAAATGTAGATGGAGTAAGGGAGATGATTGGCAGGAGCCTGTCACGTGGGTGGTCACCAGCTTACGCGTACAATGAGAAATATTGGAAATATTAATAATTATCAAGTTTTGAAACACAGGTTATCCAGATTGGAATAATTAAACTAATATCGCGATCTAAATGAAGACAAATGGCACAACTAAGTGCAACAGATTAGCTAAACAAAATATTCAAATTCATCCTTTCTGTAAAACACAGATTGGACAGTGGTAGTCACGTGGGGGTCACCCTCCCGTGAACTGTCCACAGCCCAATGCATCTTGAAATAGTAGATATCACAATTCAGTGAAGTCTTGGTCTGAGAAATTAAAACACTAAAGTTCTTGTACAACACTGAGGCACATGAGTTACTGTAAACTATACACTATGTACATATAGGGACGGCGGTATTTGAGCGAAGTGGCAAATGGTGAAAAACATTTTACACTAGCAATAAATAATCAGAGCTTTGAAGATCCAGGTACACGGATCATGTCCATAAGTCCACAATATTACAAAGTCTCTGATATAACAATAAGAAGATTGAAAGTGATACGAAAATGACAAATATAAGATCAGTGCTTTGAAGATCCAGGTACACGGATCATGTCCATAAGTCTATAAAGTTTCAAAGACACTGGTAAAAATGACACAATGAAGATAAAATAAAGATAATAGTACTATGTACAATATATACACATTTCACCATTTGCTGTTATGGAAGATGCCTCTTGGGCGCTTTGCTGCAATTTCTATAGTAGGATCATAATTTATCAGATTACGGATATGTTCGTATTGAGAAAGTTCTATTTTAGCATAGAAATTGTGGCTCGTGGTGAGAATTTGATCATCTATGGGTCTTATTTTTAGTTCTTTATGTATCTGCAGGTTACGTACGAACCATGGGGAGTCAACAATTTGTCTGAGTATTTTGTTCTGAAAGACCTGTAGTTTGTGTCTATAAGTCTTGTACACAGTGGCCCAGATAGGCACTGCATAAAGTAGGGTGGGTCTTATTAAGCTGGTATAGATCTTCTTCTTGAGACTGATATTTAATTTAGCATTTCTTCTTATTAAAGGGTAAAAAGAGACATTTTAGCAGCGGTGGCTTTGCGCAAGGCATACTCCGTGTGTTCTTTGAATAACAGCTGTGAGTCGAAGACCACTCCTAGATACTTGGTACTTGAAACAATTGCTAGGGCTTGATCATTAATTTTTATATTTACATTTACAGGAGTGAACTTCCGATGACGTCTGAAAAGGAGAATTTGGCTCTTTGACGGATTTACTTTTAATTTCCATGAATCATAATAGTGTGCTATGATATTTACTGCGCTTTCAAGTTTATCTACAGCGAGCTGAGGTTTTTTTAGCGACTTGGTTAAAATTGCTGTGTCGTCGGCATATTTCACTACTTTTGCATTCAAAGGAACCGGCATATCATTCGTGTAGATATTAAACAGAAGCGGTCCCAGAACGCTTCCTTGAGCCACTCCGCTTTTAACTCTTTTTCTTGAAGAGAGTGGTGGTGGTGGTGGTTTTAATTCTTTTTTCTTGAAGAGAGAGAGTCATTAATTTGTACCTGAAAGGTCCTGTTTTTAAGATAGCTTTTCATGAGCTTAATAAAACTGATGGGCAGATGAACAAAGTGTGCAGCTTGTAGAGGAGACCCTCATGCCACACCTTGTCAAATGCTTTTTCTAGATCTAGAAAGCAGCTGGCGATTGTGTTCTTTTTTTGCGAAGGAGTCTGCAATAAATTCTGTAACGTTCAGTAGTTGGTGCACGGTACTATGACCGGCTCTAAAACCAAACTGCTCTTTACATATAATTTCTTATCCTCTAGATGTTGAGTTAATCTCTTTTGGAGCACACGCTCAAATACCTTTCCCAAACTGGGGAGAAGGCTGATCGGACGGTAGGAGTTTAAGTCCTTTGGGTTTTTCCCCGGCTTGACAAACGTAATTATCTGCGCGTGCTTCCACTGTTGCGGAAAGTAATTGAGCCTCATACAAGCATTGACTATGTTTGTAATGAGGACTATGTAGGTTCTTGGGAGAGCTTTGAGAACCGTATTGGTGATGCTATCGTAGCCGGGAGCTTTCCTGGACTTTAAGTTGCTAATTATATTACTTATTTCTGCTGGAGAAGTTGGGTTGAAGTGATTATTACAATTTCTGTCAGCTAGGTGGTTAATGAAATTATCGACTTCTTCATCTGTCTCATCATTATTAGAGGCATGATTGGTGAAAGTCTTTTCTAGATGCTGCGCAAGGGCTTCAGCCATGTCATGTTCAGAATAAGCAATTCCACTACTGGTGTGGAGAGGACCAATATTTCTGTTATTAGTATTCCTTAAGGAATTTCCAATACGCCAGACTGTATTCGGAGAGAAATCCATGGAGTCTAAGAAATCGTCCCAACAATTTGATCTGTACTCTAGGAGGAGGGTCTTGATGTTCCTAATTTTTCTGTTCAGATTTCTTTTAACAGTGGGATCGCCTGTCTTTCGCCAGATTTTTGCTGTGCGGTTTTTTGTTTTTATTTTCTCAATGATGTGGTCGGGGAGCTTGTCTTTCTTATAATCTTTGAATTTGGTGGAATCATCAAGGGCTTTCTTAATTTTACTATTGATCTTAGTGATATTGTACTCAATGTCTACAATATCGGCAAGAGCCGGGTGTGCAGGTAATTGTTCCAGAGAATTATTGAATTTCTGCCAGTTTATAATTTTCTTTAAAGGCAAGGTCTTCTCAAAGCCATGGTAAGTAAATTTAACAGGGAGATGGTCAGAGGTTAATTGATTAATCACCTGTAGGAAAGGGATTTGCTGGATATTTTTTGTAATAACAATGTCGAGAACATCCGAGCTGCCTGTATGATGATACCTGGTAGGTTCCGTTGGTCCAAAAATTCTAAGGTCATTCGTAAGAGCATAGCTATAAAGTTTGTTGCCATTTGTGTTATTTCTTTGAGAATTCCAGCTATGATGTTTAGAATTCAGGTCCCTGCTATAATAACAGGGTGAGTGATATTGTTAAAAATTTGCAAGTCATTGTTGGTGAGAATGTTTCTGGGGGGATTATAAGCCGAGATGATGACAATCGGCTCATTTGTGCGCGAATGCACAACGATCGCAGTGGTTTCAATGCTGCTGCTATTGGGAATATTAAACTCGTTGGCGTGCAGATGCCTTTTAATTAATATCATAGTACCGCCGCCCCTGTTATGGTCTCTGTCCGTCCTGAATGCGTTGTAACCATTGATCTTGAACTTATCATTAGGTCTGAGCCAAGTTTCATTCACTAGAAACACATCAATATTATGGTGATTAAGGAAGTTTGCAACTTCAACGTTCTTGTGGGCGAATACCGTTGGCGTTAAAAAATGCGAGGTTTAAACTGCTGGGGGCAGTGAGGTGAGTTCTTGAATTACTGTTAATGTGGTTAAAATTCATAATTGATGCTTGATAAAAGTTCAAAGGCTTCCCAGCCGACTTGGATTTTTTCCAATATTGATTTAGATTTTAAGAACCGCTCGAAGAGATTTTTCCCTTGCAGGAATAATTTCTTCAGC